ACAATATTTATTATAATAGTGTATAATTGTATATTTATAGCTATGATATACCATTCCCTGATGCTTCACACGTTTCAGGCACCCTTGTTTAAAATTTAAATGTATAAAAATAAATATTTTTTTAATTTTTATGGAATAAACATATATTATTATAAGTAGCTAGTACGTATTTCCGTAAACCAATGTAGCCAATATAAATATACCTAACGGCTAACACAATCATATTATGGTGAGTAGTCAAATACTATATGTTCAAATGATTGCGCCACTCTTGTAATATAGGTAGGTATTATACCTAGCAGGTACATAACATACAGTAGGCACATATGCACGGAGGTACCCACGTGGGTAGGTGATAATAATATTGTTCAAATATTGAACGGACGGTCAAATCGTTGGATGCATGGAAACTCAGTCTGACGGATATTCTCACGACTAGGTATTTATGAATATTAATGAAGAAATAATTGTCATTGGTGTACATAATAAATTATCTCATGTATATGTTCGTCATAGTATACACTCAGATTGCTCACAGGTACGGACGAGTGTAATTTATTGAAATACGAAGAAGTTATCGCTAAAATATAATTTAAGTACGCGAATCGGCTACCTGTTACTGCGCAGTGTGTAAGACTCGTAAAAAAATTTTCATTTCCTTCGCTGTTCATGGCACAAGCCAATATATAACTAATACCATATCTGTAATGTTTTATAATTGTTGTTATAAAAAAATCTATTCTGAAATGTATAGATTGTTAAAAATCAGTTGTTCGAGTTTTTATTGTTCGTTGTAAAAAAAACGCTTGTGTTGAGATTTAATACCAGCAGGTAATAGCTGCAGCAGTAATAACTGGACGTCTACACATAATCTGCTGATAAACACCTAGGCCTTATGTGTATTAAAACAATATAAGTCTTGAACCCGAAAGAATTATTATAAATGAAAGAAAAAAGAAATATAGAGTTTTCTTAGAGGAATAAAATTCGAAATTACTTAGGACCACTGGAGACTAAAGTAGGTATACCTATAAGTGTATAACTCTATAATGTGGTTGACGGTTATATAGTTTTCAGTTGTCAGTAGGTACAACTGATTTCAAACAGAACCAAAAAGTAAAAATCATTAAAAACAAACCAACACCGATATGTTTTTACACAGTGCAAACAAGAAGTACAATTCGTATACACATATTATTGACATAATAATATTCATATAGTTCACATAGAGTAATTTTGGACTCAGAGCTCAGACAATATACATCGTACTGTAACATAAAACACGTAGGTATATTTGTTCACAAGACTGATCATATACATCTATAATCTAAATATGAAACCACTTAAGGACAGTTATTTGTTAGTGAATATTGAATATAGTGACGTTTCTAGCACGTTTCTTGCTTGCAAACCATATAGGTACCTAACCTACCTAAGTATATCACCGAAAGTAAAAAAATAATCAACTTTGCACTACGTATTTAAAGTGTTTAAACACGCAAAATAAATTGTGAATATAGATCGAAGAAAAGCGCTAGTTATTGTATATCATGTAATATATATTTAATCATTATGAACAATAATAATATTGTTTATGGCCTAACGACAATAATTGCAAGCGATTCACTGTCAACACACAATAGTATAAAAAGTATGTGATTAAGTAAAAAAAATACAATTTAAAAAGTAATCTATTTTAATTTATTGATCATTTAATCTCTATACAGGCGATTACCTATACAATATATTCCTTGGAATTATAGAACTATACTTTTTTTCACCGACCACAATTTCAAAAAGCCACTAATATATTTTATTGATAACTATAAATAATTTATTATGATTGATCGCAAAACATATATGCATAACACATTAAACTGCAAAGTAAATAATTTTATATCGTCGTTCAATCGATATGTTCACATAATGTTAGAATTTTTATTTTTCTATATTGTAAACACATTTTATTTTTATTATTTATCTGTTTTTTATAAACATTAACTCACGCCTATCCCGACCTGGCGCCTTGCAGGAAGGGAAACTACGAATTTGTGTTTAATTATATCATAGACTTAAATGCTGCAAGTGGATAAAACACTATACATATTATAATATAAGTACACTATACAATTTATATATAATATAAAAACTCTTCACTAGCATAGTAGCATATTATATGAACGAAACGAGAAGATAGTGCCTATAAAACCGGATCTCCTCATTCCAATATGTTAGATACACGTAATTTTCTTTAAACCTATAGTTGCTAATTAGGCGGGCAGAAGGACCCACTGGGCTGCTACTCATATTATTAAATTATTTAGATTTAGGTCCTTAGGAGATGATATATATATAATAATGTGTACATATTTAACTTTTTTAGCTTATAGTTTTGTGCATTTTCAAGTACCAAAATGTTAGTTCCAAACTTCCAAAACTCACCAAAATGTGCAGCCATCCCATAAATATCTGTAAATATAGATAATGTCGTTAGAGGAAGTCAACCCGCAAGAGGCTCCTCCTGGGAAAAGTCAATGCACTATTTGTTTTACGCCCAAAATAGTAAATTTGTGTTCAGCAGAACCAATCTTAGTTATAACTCGTAGGTTGTAAGTTTAGATTAGGCTTTTATTAATATTTTAATTGTCAAGTCCAGCGAGTTATAAGTTATAAGATGCAGAGTTAGGGACTTACAAGTTTTGCTTATCGTCTGGCTTGACATAAAATCTAGCATACTCAATTGATTAATTGTATAACGTTTGAAATTAAATCTGTATTGATGTACACTCCAACAATGTGACCGAAGTTAGCTTATATTTGAATTAAATAAAAACCATTGTATTACCTGTCACGTGTATTATTTTGGAAAAAATTTCAAAATTATGTACATAATAACATTTTTTCAAACCAATAATAGACGATACAGTCTATTGCATAGATTACTCTGGCCATGTACTCATCTGCGTACCTAATCATTTTTGAATCGGTCACAATATTATAATTTATAATTCCGTGCAGGAATCCGTAAATGGTTATATGGAAATACGGACCGATTATGACTGCTTAATGGACAAGAACTCCAAAACGATTGGCGCAAAAAATAAATAATTTGGATATTTAGGTAGGTAGTAAAATACTGCTCCTCGTATAGAAATTGCCAATTTGCTATTCTTATCTAGCGCTCATCGGTTATATCATTTATGAATGTTTAATTTATTTATAATATTATATAGAATGAATGAAAATATAAAAAAATGGAACACCCCCCAAATCTCAACCGACGCCAAGACATTGCAATCACCCGCACCAGAATCGGACACTCTTTCCTCACTCACTCATACCTAATCAGTAAAGAACCCCAACCAATATGTGAACCCTGTCACATCGCATTAACCATCAAGCATATAATGGAAGAGTGCCCTCAATACTCCCGAATCCGCACCGATCTCAACATGCCACCCACTATAGCAGAAGCACTTGGCGAAAATCAAACAGACAAAATACTAACCTTTTTAAACATTACAAATATTATTAAAAAATTGTAACAATAAAACATGTATATATTATGTAAAAACTAATTTTAAGAAAAATTCCATGTAATAATCTAATGTCAGGCTAATAACCTTAGTTGTTGAAGCCGTTTCCTTTATAAAAAAAAAAAAAAAAAAAAAAAAAATTCAACTATACAATCTCATCACACGCGTGAGCGGTTAAACCTGCACGTTACATAAAATTATCAACACTTTTATAGGTAGGTATATATATATCTCAATAGCACAATAGCTGTGTAAGGTCAGTTAAACTTATTTTTAAGTTATTGAAATTATGGTAAAACTGTTCAAAATATTATTTTTAGCAAGTCAGTTATCAATTCAATAACATATCAATAGAAACTATGATTAACTATATTTTATAATTGATTGATAAGTGATGAAAAATAAAAAAATTAAGAGAAAATATATGCAATACATAATGTTTCAACTGATAACAGTAATACAACGACGGAGCACGGCCACACAAGACCTTACATGGTTATTGGTAGATGGTAGTCACGATCATAGGAAAGAGATTATAAAGATCAACACCAAAGAACTATTCTAGTCATAGATCTATTAACCTAAGTTCTATGATTCTAGTCGTAAACATTTGTAAATCGTTCGTAAATAGTAGTCTGATATCTTACTGATAACTGATAAGTCATAAGTCATAATCGTGGACACTAGACCGTAGTATAATATAATTCTACTAAATTTGAATAATTCTATTTAACTACGTACATGCTACAAGTTATAATTAATTGAAGTTACTAAACGTTAGTTACTATTTCTTTTTACTATTGTTGACAAATATTTTACCAAGTATTATGTTGGAAATATTGAAAAACGAAAATGCTTATTTTGTAAAGAGGCTTATGCCTATAATGCATTTCGTTTGGCAAATCATTTCAAAATATATGTATAAAAAACTGATTCAAAAAAGTAAACACTTACCTACTAATTAAATAATGACATAGGTACTAATTAAAATTACTGTAAATATTAAAACCTAGTATTCAAAACTTAGAATCAATACATTTTCATATAGGTATTTTCTATCAGGTAGTTATTAATTTATTATACCAGACTGTCATTTCATAATTTAATAATTAAAATGCTTCATTATTCATCAATAAACTGAAATATTATTGATCTTACATTCTTATTACACTCTGGTATTATTTAACAATTATCTAAACTTCATACGAATTTTGTAAAATACTGTACTATACAATATTGAAGAATAAAATACGGTATTTTTACATCACTGATTATACAGCCATGTAGATTGTAGATACTCGCTGGCTAGTAATTAACAACGTTGTTCTCGTCATCGGGTAGATTTTTGAATTCATCCATCGACGAAATCAATATAATATCTACGTAGTCCATTTGAAATTATTATCAGATCACCTGAGTACCTATACAGACGAAACGCTTACTAAAAATATCAGAAATACGAAAATGGCCGCTAACGAATTAGCTTCTAACTTGGACGAAACAGAACTTATGAATGTTATTAATGAGCTCATGGAAGACATAATTAATACTCTAATGATAAATCTTTCGATGGAAGAGACCTGTTCGGTCGATGACGACGGCCGAGGAACCGACGTTGCTCGACGAAGGTTGCACGACATCGTCGTTTGCACCGATCGTCGTCAAGGACGGGCCGGACGGCGATGGCTGTGCGTCGGTTGAAGAAGTCGAGACGGTTCCGGCCGAGGGTCTCGAACCTAGCAACAGTTCCAGGGATCTGGATTGCACGATATCATCGTTTGCACCGATCGTCGTCAAAGACGTGCCCGGACGGCGATGGCTGTGCGTCGGTTGAAGAAGTCGAGACGGTTCCGGCCAAGGGTCGTGAACTTAGCAACAGTTCTGAGGATCTGTCGAGTGGGCTAGACCCGGGGGCAACAACCCCGGAGCCGCTCGCCAGACGCCCACGATCGCGATTTTCCACCGCGTGGAGTGGAGTCAATCGCGTGGTTCGGCTGTGTTTCGCGTGTTGCCGCCGAAGCACATAACGCCCCCGAAAACCTTGTCTGAAATCTCTAGACGGCACGACGACGGTGACCGGCATAGATCTCCGGCCACCCGAGGCACCAGTTTCAGTAAGCGGTTGAGTTTTTGTACTAAAATATGTTTTTGGCACCATTCCAATGTGCGACCTACATATAGGTGTTGTCCTATACTGCATTTTTAATAGTTATTATAGTTATTAATTATCCTTTAAATTTATCCTTCTTGTCTGATAAGAATTCATTGTAATTTATGTATAATTTATGTCATAAAAGCATCATGATTATATAAGCATATATGATTATACACTTTTTTTGTTTAATAATATTCTCATTAATTTCATTTTTGAAACTTAAGTAATTAACCACATTAATTATCACTGTATTCGATGTTAATGTGTATATGATTTCCAGAGATGTTTGTTATACATAATATCGTCAGTTTTACAGCTTCTCTTATGAGATTCATAACTTGACTTAATGGCATTGGGATGGATTGTGTTTGTCGGTTTTTTTTATGCAAATGTTCCATGATCCGTTTAAAAATGAAAAAAAAAATATTGTAAATTATAACAACACCAATTCATTAAGTTACTTACAAAAATATTATTGAATTAATGTTATTTTATTATGTCTATTTATTAGTGTTCCTCAATTGTACTAGTTTAGAGAGCGTTCGAAAATATAGCAAGTGCTTATATCCAATCCGCAACGATCCGATTGTCCAAATCGATAGAACTAGTTCACAAAGCGAAGTACAATGATGCCGATTTGCTCTCGAATTAAGGTCGGTAGACTAAAACCAAGATACACCAATATAGCTTCGTATTTTATGTTTGATCTTTTTTTCCCGAGTGAAGTCATATTATACAGCTATAGTATATTCTATAGTTGATATTCAATATTTTTTAGTAAGCTAATTTTATCACGCAAATGCCATTTTTACGAACTGTCCTAAATTCATTATATCATAATATGTATTATTTTGGTTGGTACCAAGTGGCATTGAACGACAATGTCCAATAGACGCATACATTTGAGGTGATGTATCAATTACAGGACAAATTTTTGTGATAGTTTCGATTATTATTTTAAGTAGTTCAGAGGTCAATAAAAAAAAGTCGCTCTGCTGTATAATAGGAAAAATTTGAATTCAATGATATAATATCATTGTATAAGAAAAACGATTCTGAGGGAAAACGGTCGGTCAGCCTACGATATTACAAAGTATATTTGATGATATTATTGTGAATAAAGTAATTAATATATAACCTATTTACGTGGAACATTGTTTTAAATTTTCAATCCTTAGCTATAAAAGTTGAAAATATTATAAATTTTTAGCTACAAAATAATTATTACATTTTAAACTTGATAAATCATGGTCAAAAGTCGAACTTTAAATGCTTATAAAAAAAAATTGTGCCTATGTATTTTTAATATTTTTCCACTGCTATTGTAACAATATATCAGGAGCCTTACATTAAATGTTCACGATTTTTTATCCAACATATAACATTTTATTGATATTTATAGAAAAAAAAAACTAAAAAAATTTAAAACTGACTATGTCCGTAAACAGCTCAAAAAGAATCAAATTATTTTCAAAATTGAATGGTGTATAGAAAATGCTAATATACCTAAGCATTCAGTGAAGTTTTCAAGTATCTACATAACAGTGGTTTTCAAACTTTTATTGAACGGCACACCGTGCTCCACAAAAAATGTTCACGACACACTGACCTTTTTTTTTGCACTAAATAATTAGATGAACAAAATTATTTTGAATTATAATTATAGTAAGTACATTTAATTAGAAATGAGTGCTTGACGAATGACGGGCTAACAAATTTTTATTAATTTTATTCTTGGACGAATAGTTGAACTTTCCGAAAGACCGTGGCACACTCAGTGAATTCTCGAGGCACACCAATGTGCCGCGGCACCCAGTTTGAAAACCACTGATCTACAGTCATTCGTTTTTGAATAACAATAAAATAACAAAATCGCTTTATGAGAAATCGAGAGAATATCCAATATCGTAAAAATATGAAATTCAAACGCTCATAAAAATGTAATTTGAATTTCTTATAGACATTTTTTTTTTGATAAAGGTAGATAATCTAATAAGGAATCTTGTATTACATTTTCAAATCTTAGATTTAAAAAGAAAATTTTTTATGAATTTCTAACTCACAATAATTTCCAAATTTTCGTAATTTTTACGTATTTTGTCAATATTTGAACTTTAAATGCTTATAAAAAAAATTGTGACTATGGATTTTTTTTCTACCTTTAAAACAATATACTAGGAGCCTTCTATTAAATTTTCAAGCTTTTGTGCCCAACAAATAAAATTTTATTGATATTTATAGAAAAAAAAACTAAAAAAAATGGAAACTGAAAATGTCCGTATAAAGAGCTCAAAATAAGTCAAAATATTTAGAAAATGTTATGGTGTATAGAAAATGCTAATATGAACATTCAGTCAAAATTTCATGTACCTACGGTCATTTGTTTAAGAATTGCACCAAAAACCAAAATCGATTTTTTCGAAAACTGATTTTGCGTAAAAATTCCTGTTTTCCCTTAATTTTTCTTTTGTTTTTCACGGCACTTTTGAAAACTACTGGGAAATTTTTACTTTTCACCCCTCAAAGTACCAACTAGATTCACTTTTCTATCAGAAATGATACTGTTGAAGAAAATCCAAGCACTTTTACTGTCTTAGAAGGTGAAGACAGACACAAAAAAAAAAAATAAATAAAAAATAAAAAAACACACATCATTGTAAAATCAATACATTCATCGTTCCACTCATAATCTAAAATGAATAATATCATATTTAAACTTTCGATAAAAAACGCTTTTACAACGCAATCAAATCGTATGTTCTAAAAACGTCTATTTAAATATAGGTATATATGGCGTATGCGATATGCCCATATTTCTATCATATGTACCTACTATATTAATATTTATAATTTTATGTAGTATTATAGAAGTATTATTTTTATGAAATATCTAAATGGCTAAAATGTTAAATCAAGTATGATAATATAATAATATATAGGCACAATAATTATTAAGAAATAATATCCACTTACCTTTAGGTTTAAAAGAAAACGATTTTAAACATCGTGATTTTTTATTCCATCTGAAAACATAATATATATTGTACATTTGTACCCTATATATAGGGATGTAACACTAATATTAGGAAATACCAGTATAATACATTCAGTAGCGTATTCAAGGAATATCTTATGGTTTTAATATTATAATCACCTAACATTTTAAGCTCAATATTTTCTTGTTAATAAAACATTCTATCATATAATAACACTATGCCCTACATCATACCCTCTAAGATACAATATAGAAATCAATGATATATATATATATATATATATACATTATACAGTTTTTGTTACCTAGTAAAGATATTTAAGTGGACTCTACCCATACATTTGTTGTCTCAGTCTTACACGCGCACGACATACCAAATTGTCGTTCACTAGTTTCAATGGTATGCTGTTAGTTTTGATACTAGAGTGAATTGACCTTTCATAAACTTTTAGGTAAGAACATTATCCGATTTTTCGAAATTTTCATTTTCAAGCAAGATATGGGTATGTGAAATATCAAAAATTAAAAATGCTCATTTCTCGCTTGAAAATTAAAATATCAAAATATAGCTAACGCTTAAGCACAGATAATGATATCTAAAAAATGTATAATAAGTAAAATCACTCTAATACTAAAACTAACAGCACACTATTGAAACTAGTGAACGAAAATTTGGTATGTCGTACGTGTGTAAGACGGAGACAACAAATTCATGGGTAGCATCATCTTAATATGAGAACGCAGCGTTTTTTGTGCATCATTAAAATATGCTTGCTAGAGATAATATTTTTTACAATATATATCTAATAATATCCAATAATAATTTATCGATTAAATTGAAAATAATATATAAAATATGTTATAATTTGGATGTGGGCATGTATCGTTACACGCTTAACATTTTCCAGTAGCAAATGTTATCTATTATTGATAATTTTGAGACTTTGAATTTTGGGCATTTTAAATAAATCCGTGAATTGAAAAAAACTAAAGGGAAAAGGTAAAAGCACAATTTTATTCAATCTGAGTTTTGTTATTTCTTAGAAATTCTAAAAATAAATGCTTCTTAAATTATAAAATTTACCCCGAGTAAGTAACTAATTCAGTGTTGTATATCAGTATTATTAGTACCTCAACTCAGAATCGTTGTAATAAATACAATGAGTATTCCTTTCAAATGCAATACATCCACATACATTACACCATATACACCATAACGCAGAACTACTCAATTTGATGGTACACTTGGGAGTTTCAAAACCTTCTAAACAAAACTATTTCCCCGGGTTTTGTCAACACAATATATATAAATTAGTAATTTAAATTTTATTTTCCAGTAGCTTAACTTCCTAAACATATTAGTTAATGGTTGTGTTGCCAACTTAACTGAATATATATAATAAATTGTCCCGACTGACTTACTAATTCATCATATCGTCTAGCTGGAACCGCCGGAGCTACGAGTATGAAATTTGGTAGTTTCGTTTTGTGATGTAACAAGTAAAGACCCACTAAGAACGGGTTTTCCAAAATTTGCATTTTAAAGAGGTCCTCAAAATTATATTTACGGAGGAAATGGAACCTTTTTTTGTATATAAATGGTTGCCATTGGTCACTCGGGCAGATCAGGTACGAGCATATGCATCAAATCATCACGTTTACATGTCCTCGATTTATGAAAGTATATCTTATAATCAAATGTATATGTTTAGAGCTTATATATATCATACTCAAAACTAAATGATTGATTTTAACGAAAATCTCAGATTGTTTTTAGAGATATCAGAACAGTTTAGAAAGTAAGTAGTTTAAACTTTATACCGAATGCTAAATCCAATCAGTGACTTGCAGTTGCCCATCTATAGGTGAAGTTGTTTCACAAAGTCACACTGACGCCGATTTGTCCGTGAACTGAGGTACACTAACAGTGAGATACACCTATATAGCGTATATTATATACCTACTATTAGGATTTTCCGCAAAAATAAAATTGCACACGGGTGAAGCAAGGGTGAACCGGCTAGTGGGTTACATAAAATTGTACATATAGTTCGTATACTTCCAACTCAGGCTTATAGCTTACATAAGATACCTATAGATAAGCCATTTCTGAAAAGTTATAACTTTGTAACATAAACATAGCGTTATGGTTATTACTTATTATTAATAATAAACATATGTAAATATATAGTAACAGATAGAAGTAAACAAATTGGAATACAAAAGGATTTATATAACATATATATAGCCTTTTTACCTGAGGATAAAATAAAGAAAGCGACAACGTTGTTTATCATTTACAAATAAATTATATATATTTTTTCTTATCAACACATATGATACAGACAAATTAAAACTTTAAAATATCTAATAATGTCTAACAATAACTGGTTACATATTTACAAAATTCTAAATCATATTAGTTTATATATAAATAGCATCAAATTATATATATATATATTTATGTATAAGAAAAAAAAACAATAACACATATTTTTTATCTTATTAAATGGTAATATTGTTTTACTGTAGGATAATCCCACTTTTTTAGAATAACGTTAAACATTTCAGAAGGTATTTCTTATATTGTAATTTGCCAAACTTGCGAATTTCAAGTAAGAAATTATTAAGGAACATTCAAAGAAAAATTTTGCTTGAAGAATCATTTTGTGAATAGCTTCTATACAAGTATTTCACATAGATAAACTATTCTATAAATTAATAATACATTGGTATACTTATGTCTCATTATTTTATCAACGTCTTACAATAAAAATATTAGGAATATAATATTGATTTGTACGACTTTTTATTCTACTTAAAATAACATACATTGTTAATAAATTATTAATTGATTTACATTTAAAAACAGTAAATCCAAAAATTGTACTTGAGTTTTTTTCAAAACTACAAATTTTTTAATTCGAAAAGTAAAAATATCGACCAGTCTGCTCAAATATATAATCTTATTAGTACTACAACTTAACAACTACCTAGTTAATGTCTGTCTATCTACATTTACTTCATTACAACAATTTGCCAATAATTTAGCATATCACAATTTTTTCAAAGCTGCAATGCGTACCCAGCTCTGTAATTTGGACTATGAGTTGATCTGTATTGGAAAAATAAAAACCATAAACAAAAGAAGTCCGAGAGAAAATTAAAATTAAATTAAAAAATTAAAAAACATTGAAGAATAACATTTGAAAATAATATGTGGCATATATAGTACACACAATCAGATCATATTTTCGTGAGAATTGATTTTTTAGAGAGATCATTCATAAGTATAAGATATAGAAATAAGTCTATGTGAGATGTGACCTCAAACCGGTATTAGTAAAACAAGCGACCATGCCGTATTATTATATTAATAACGTGAATAGGTAAATTATGAACCGAATTCTTTTGTTTTATTTTTTTGTTTTTACATATTTTGAAATTACTAAAATAGAGAAGAATTAAATAGTGCCTATAGCTTACAATATACAGTAAGAAATGTGGCCTATAATAGATTTTGTGTTTTTTTAGATAGGTAGGTTTTATAAATAAGGGTTGTCTTGAAGAATCCGTAGTTCACCTTGAGTGGCCACATCTATAAAAAAAAATAAAAAATAGCGAAAAATCCAAAACCCAATGTTAATAACAGACAAGAATGGTTGTTTTTATTTTGTTTTATTTATTTAAGTAAGTGTATTCTTTTTTTAATTGAATTATATTTGTTATTGTTAAAATATAGTGATATATTAAATTAAATTAACATCTTAATCGCAAAAAGAATTTAACAGGCGATGTGTCGACATGTTTTAAAACGGTAATAAGTATAGAACGTGAAAAACTGCAAGAGGATAATATAGAACAAGAATTGAAATAAGTGAAAAGATTGCCTATACTTAGAACGCAGACTTATATAGGTAGTAATAATAAAATCAACCACCGTAGTAATATAGTAATACCATACACGGAGTTTGTATATAACATCACTGAATGTTTGTATTTAGGTAATTATAGGTACTCTAAAAATATAGTTGTTTGTTGTATATATGCATATATTATGTATTTATATATATTTAGGAAGTATATAAGTATCCAAAATGAACGCAACTCATTTTTGAAGTCAATTTCGTTCCCTGTCAGTTAATGCAGATTTATTATCAAGAAAATAATTGTGCGCTGATGCCAAATACATCGCTATTATTATTATTTTTCGTCAATAGTGTTTATTTTTAATTTTTATACCTCAAAGCAAATGTTAATAGAATTTTAGTGACCTTATTATATATAGGTAGGTGTATAGTTAATTAATTTATGTATAGGTTTTGCGTTTGACTCCAAAAATGGCGTTAAAAGTTCATTTTGTATTAATATAAGTATAATAACATTGTATATGTAACAAAATATATAACATAGGTATGTAGGTATAGGTAGAAACATTTTCTCGTCATCCGCGGGTTCCCGGTCACGAAGGTGGTCTTTTGGCGACAGCAACCGCGGTTAGTAATATAATATATATAATGAATTATTATTATTACATTTTATATATTATATTATTAAACCCCCGAATTGGAAACTCAAAAGAATTTTTCGATTGTGAAAAAAAATTCATACGAATTCCGGGAGTAGGATGAGGCGGCTTTCACAACCTCGAATCCGACGCTGGCGACGACAATATTATATATGTACACGGCAGTTTCAATACGAAGTAGTATACAGTAAGTATATAATATTATATAGAGTAATATAAGTGTAGTAGTAGTATAGCAGTGGTATAGTATAGTGATAGTTTAAATATATATACAAATAATGTGCGTATTATTATAGGTAGGTACTATAATAATATATATAATACAGTAGGTGGTATATTATATAATAATATGATATGCAACGACTCAATGCGATTTCGACACTGACCTGTGTTGTTGCAGGCTGTCCTGCCGTTTGAACGACTTGTAGCACATCTCGCACCGGTAGTTGACCGTTGGCAGATGGTTGCGTTCGTGTATGAGCAGCGAATAGTGTTTGTTGAACGTCCGGTTGCAGTATTTGCACACAAACTCCATTTTGACCCGCTTGGGTCGGAGTCTGTGGTTTTCCGAGTCGAGCTGTATTACCGCGTACATGGTCGGGCCGCTGCAGCGTTCTCGCCTGGCGCTCCACGAGCTGATTACGATAATAATATATTATTAACGGACGTCCGTCGACGGCGGTCACTCGGGCCGAGTCTCGGTCGTCTCGTTGGGAACGGGTCGAGAAGATTACCCGGGTGGGAAATAATGTACACAACTATTGTAATAATATTATGACGTGTAGTGATTCTCAGATCGGTGTCCTGCAATATACGCCGCAAACACGTGCAGAGGTCTATAATACAGGCGAGTATATCTGTTTCAGGCGGCTACGGCTGACTGTGGTGGTGGTGACGACGACGACAAGACGCTGTGAAAACAAAACAAACGCAAAATGAAAGTCATTGTATTTGTATTATACTATGTACATCGTACTGCAACATCATATATTACAATATTATTATTATTATTATTTATTTATTACCAATGGGTTTTCGGCGGTTACGCGCGCGTCAAAAAAACTAAACACTATTATACGATGCAATAATATGCGAACGACAACAATAGCCGGGTGGCGTTCAAGGATTTTGAGTAGGAGTTTGCGAAATCAGACAGACGTGCCGACAATTACGTACGTATATAATGCGTGTATGCACCGCAATGACGCGCCGCCTACCTGGAGCGGACCACGTACTGCAGTGGTGACCGACTTGTTGCGGCACGGGAGTAATTCAAGGCGCTTCCAAAAAAAAAAAAATTAAAAGGAATTTTGACTGAGGAGAAGACGAGACACTATGATGATATATCGATGGTAAATAAAACGGGGGGAAAAAAGTAAAGAAAAAAAATCGTATTTATCATAATATATATGCGCAGACGCAGACGTGATTTCAACAACCGCACTGATGTGGTGAAAACAATATTAATATGTACCCATATAAAACAGAGCTGGGTTGACTGACAAAAAGATCGATGAAAAAATGAAAGGTATACGCAACAATAATAATCTCTATAACGCATGCAGCATACACAAACGGTCGCGGTGTCGTCGCCAGCAGCGGATATTATATTATAAGTTCTTCACTGATATAATATACCTTAACCAACGATACAGCGGAATAACCTATAGGTGTAGTATTAATCGTGAGAAATCCGAAAGGCGCCAAGTTAAGTAACTATTTGGGTACACTTAATATACGAGGTATCACGCCATATTATAATACCTATACGTCCTGCAGACCATAATAACCGACAAACGGACAAGACGATAATATACGAATTAACTACTCCGCGGTCGACGACGAGAGCACACGCGATATTGAAACGATTCCGACGAGGAGAAAAAAATGAATAATATGATTATATTATTATTATGTAATACAATAATAATATAATTTATTTCAAATACCAATAATATATGGTATAGCGTTGGAAATTTTCCGACCGGAGAGGAACGGTTTCGTGCTTGTCCGACGGCTGTGGATGTTGTGCACTTATGCGCGGTGGAAAACGACCAAGCGGAGGTGAAGAGTAAAGGGGTATAGGCGGAGTCCGGTAGCCGGCCGAACACCGGTAGCCGCGGTGGCCGCCATTAATTCGTCCCCACCACCGGTGAACTACTACCGCGGTTACGCGCCGGGTCGGTCGACGAACACCGGTAGTCCATTACGACGTATTTCGCGCGCACCAACCATAATCAACGGGTTGAAACGACCAAGTCGGCCGCGTACATCTCATACACGATAATATATTATAATATACAAATTACATTATAATAACTGACATTGTAACTGAGCCTGTACATATATGCCTATATTGCACGCCTCATAATAATAATATTATATATTATATAAAGATCATGTAGACCTACCTACGATCTGCATATATTATAATTTAGGTTATACCTATTATAGGTACCTAGTATCTATTTATAAATCGAAGTCGCGACGACGGTAACCCGAAAAACATAATATCATAATCGCGAGGACGGGTAAAAAAATGTTTAAAAATAGAGACGAACGGCGATAAAAATATAATTGTAAGAGAAAAAAATGATATTATTTTAAATAATGTTTAATACTTACAATGCTCTCGTGTATTTTATTCTGTATATAGGTACGAATATTCTATTTCGTGCACTGCACCGTTATAATAAGAGAGTACAATTAATAATATATTATATTATTTAATATTATAGCATATATAGTAACATAGGTACACTATATTATAAATTAATATATCATAAGAAGACGACGGCGACGACGACGACGAAGAAGAAGACGACCGCGGTAAGTGGTGATTATTGCGGAACTCACTGGACTGTAGCACACGAAAGTCAGAAGCGGTCTCTCCACACGGCGACGGTCGCGAGTGTGTGTAGCGTGCGCGCGCGTACGTGTGTGTGTGTTACGGCGGTAACAACAGCAGCAGGAGCGGCGGCGGCGGCAACAGCAGCAGCAACAGCAGCGACGAGTACGACGGCGGTAACAACCGGGCGCGGCGGCGTTGTTGTATTCGACGGAGACGACGACGGCGGTAGTAGTAGTACACCGCACCGGATCGGCGCGCGCGTTCGGCTTCTCCCCGGGTGCGCTACCCGATCTTCGGCGGCGGCGGCGGGTGCATGGGCGCGAGCAGCCGCGGCCGGGGACCCAATGGGTGCCGTGGGAAACGCACGGAAGCCGGAACAGGCCACGCCCGTTAGCGTTCTGGTTGGCCACTGGGCGCGCCAGTGAGCCACCACGCACACCGCGCGGCCTTCGTTTACGTAGGCGCGCGGCGGAGACGACGACGATCGCTTGTGTCGCTTTATTGTTTCTTCTCCCGACGCCCTACCCTTATTACGAACGCCAGTTGTTGCCTCCGAAGACGACGAAGACCGCGACGCCGCCTCAACGGTGGCCGACCGGTTTTTCCCCAGGCGGCTACCAAGAGGATACCGCGGTTACGACGGCGCGGGCTCCGCACGGACTTATATTTTATAGGTACATCATAAACTCCGAAAACGCGCGTAGTATAATAATAATAAATACCGAATAAATTATAATAATATTATACACCGCGCGGTATAAGGTGACTTGCGTATATAATGTATACACATAATGCAAGCGACACGACGCCGCTCTTGAATTATTATTGTTATAATAATATATCGGCTGGGTGGGGCCGATGACTCGATATTTATATTTATTTCGGCCGTCCTAAGCTAGTTTTAGCTATTTACAGCCGCGGTATACTATTGCGGATACTGTGTAGCAGTGGCGTACCCAGGGGCTAAGGGGGCTTCGGTTTCGGCTTCGGGCCATCCACCGTTAACCGCGTTAAAATATAAACTAGAATTTTTTTTGATAATATTATTTTTATAATTTAAAAAAATTAATATTTTTGGAAATAATAAGTGGCCTACACGGAAAAAAATAATTTAGTGTTGGTAAATAGTTGATTAATTTTTAGTTGAATAAGCTATATTTTAGGTAAAACAACTTGTCCATTAGCTACCATTACCTACTATTCCAGTTCTATTTCCTATTAGGCTTCCAGCACAAGGAAAAGCAGGGGCAGTGATAATCTATTGGCAACTAAGGGGGTTACGAGCTTATCCCCCCCCCAAAAAAAAAGGTAAGCCTACCACGGGAATAAATTATTTTCGAATAGGGGGGGACAACAACAACCATATGGTTGTTATAGCTATAAAAACTTGGTTATGTTTACTATACAAACTGAAATATAACTGTTCATTTTAGTTAGAATGATTATAATATTTCAGTTCTTAGTACTATATATGACAGTAAAAAGTACTATGCATTTAGTCATGTGAACTATAAATAATAGTTACCAATGGAACTATTTGTATAGTAGTTGCAACTATACAATAACCAACTAAATGAGTTGCTGTCACTATAGCAACTCTAAATCTTGGGTTAGTAGAAATGTTTAAATAGTTGCAGCAACTATATTTTTTTTTCCGTGATACGTTAAAATAATAATCATGTTTTCTATACTTAAAATATCTTTCAAGAAGATACCCTGCTGACGAATGCATTTATAGATTATTGCTGATTGGTCTAAAAGATATACATATTGTTTGTGCTCAGTATAAATTAATTTATAACGCCGATTATTAGTCTATGTTGTGCTAAACCTATTATAATTAGTACCTAAGAGTCTAACCAAACTGTACTTATAGGTAAAATTTACTCTCCAAATCTCCTTGTTGCTTTAATTTCAAAGTTCCTCCTTTTTCATCACCTAATAACTATCCGTTCTATGTTCCAAATTCCAATATAAAATCTATACCATAGGTACGCATGTCTGTACAATAGCAATGCTGCTTTAGGAGCAAACAGGATGATGCAAATTGCCAATGTAGAACACTATAATATCTCTTCTTACTATTTTTCTTCTTCATAACTTTACACATACTTATAAGTTATAGATACTACCTAGGTACCTATATCATGTAAATGTTTTTACATTTGTGATTAATTAATTACTCAAATTACAATAATATAATCATAGGCTATCAGCCCGTATCTACTATATTAATAAAATAAATAAAAATATTATAATATTGTATTGAAATAGTTGGATAAGTATATATAAAAAAAAATAATGATATAATTTAACGTCTTAACGTATCATATATTATATATGGGCTATATAGGTAGATGTGATATAAAATACATAATTATTTTATAATATAGGTATCATGCTAGGTATAATAATTTATAATGAAAAAGTATTGTAACTACATTTAATTTTTATTTACTTTGTTTAGCGCCCCTCCCCGACCATTGAAAAATCCTGGTTACGCCACTGCCGAGTACAATAAAATATATTAAATAAAATATGACACTATTTATTCTACATACATTTTAACTGAAAAACATTTTATTGAACTATTTAATAATTAAAACACATAATATAATATCGTCTGTTTAGACATATTATAATATATGACATATGTATTTTATGGACCTAATAGGGGGGACTTAGAAGGATTTAGGAACTTGGCCCTCCCTGAGCAGTCTAAAGTCCTTCTTTAAGATATTTTA